AATTATTATTATTATTATTATTATTATTATTTCTGCAGTTTAGCGCCATCTGCTGTCAGAGAGTGAAAGTGCGCTTTCATCCATTGCGTCTCTCACATGTTCTGCCATGCGCTTCTGGTTCGCGCTTGTTTACGTCAGAGTGCGCACGTGTCTTTCACGCAGCTTCTTTCACGCATACAGCGTTGTGCATTTTGACCAGTTGATGGGAAAAGTATTCTTAAAATGCATTCAAAATTCTGAATAATTTGTAATATATAATTATTCACGGTACTTAGAAGTGCCCACGATAACAATATCGTGCATATTCATTACCGTGATATATCGCATTACCGAATACCGGCACAAGTCTGCATTTTGACCAGTTGATGGGAAAAGTATTCTTAAAATGCATTCAAAATTCTTAATAATTTGTAATATATGATTATTCACGGTATTTAGAAGTGCCCACGATAACAATATCGTGCATATTCATTAGCGTGATATATCGCATTATCGAATAACGGCACAAGTCTACATGGTATATTACAAAAAATGTAGACACAACAGAAATTTGAGTTTCTTCATTAAGTCACTTTATTTAAATACTTGTTTATTAAATCAAATATTTATTTACATATTAATATTTACTTGTTTTATCAAAATATTTAATAACATTATGGAAATGGATTTGCCCTTTCAGTAGATAAAATTGGGTGACGTTATGTTTATTATATTAGCAAAATTAGGCTTAATATAATATTTAAAAGAGCCTAACTGTGTGAAGATGATACAAAAGCAAAAATATTGGTGTTTATAAATTGGCAGTTTTCGAAATTGTGCATCACCTTAAAGTCAACATGAACTCAAATGTTTACTTTATGATTTCATGTACCTGGTCTTATTTTGATTGATGCATTGGTGCTAGGGCTGCACGATAAATCGCATGCGATATTTAACGCGCATCTTATCAGTAAAGCCGGTTCTGTAATCAGCGGTAATTCTCCATCACCTGCGGGCTTTCACATTGAGCAGCATTAACTACACAGAGCCGTTGTTCACTGACGAGTTGCGCAAAACCACGTTCATATTCGTGCGATTTTTTATTTTTATTTTTATTTTTTAATTTTAATTTTTTATTTTTTTGCGCAGCTCGTCAGTGAACAACGGCTCTGTGTAGTTAATGCTGCTCAATGTGAAAGCACGCAGGTGATAGAGATTTACCGCTGATTACAGAACCGGCTTTCTGACAAGATGCGCATTAAATATCGCATGCGATTTATCGTGCAGCCCTAATTGGTGCATATCATAATCTTTCATCAAAGTGTAATAACTTGCTCTATATCTAGCAAGACCTTCCTTTCAACTTGCTGTCACCAAGTCTTTTGTTCTTTCTTTTTATTATTATTATTAATCCATGTTCTCCAAGCGCCTTTCACTTTTCATAAATAATTCCTCGGCAATCTCACCCTGAACTGTAAATTCCATTTTAAGTTATTTGTCTAGATTCATTTGTGCAGTATTGTACATCTCAATGATTGCAGACAGAGCGTTTCTAACGTTTAGCTGCAATTCATTCAACTCATATTTGTAGGTGTTCATTTACAAGTACTCTGCATATGTACTTTGAACTTTCTCACATGCATTTTCATCTGGTTTCAGTTTCATTCAGCTGTGCATGTTGTGTTTGATTTGCACATGGTGTAAAAACAAAAGCTAATTTTGCTTGTTTCATACAATTGGTTCTTAAAACCAAAGTGGGATTCTGTGACCTTTTGTTTGCCTAGTCTAACTTGAAAAGTAGGTTAGTCATTGTCAAATCTTCCTGACTGGTTTGTCCAGCATAGTTAATATGTCAGACCCTTTTCACTGGGTATGACGTCTAATTGGCTTGCCCGAGGTCTAGATGGCTCTGTCACCCCAATCAGATACCTGAGATGCTTGTCACTCTCAGAGCCATGTCATCACCGGTTTACTTGCAGCCAGGTCAAGAGAGTGGAAACATCATCTGAAGCTCATATGCCACAATGGTATTGCAGTGCAGAAGACAGACTTCTGAGAAACAGTGCAGCTTATATTCCCCTGCTACTGTTTATTTACATAAAGGGATTTCAACTACTGGATATTTATACACCCTTCATGTGAATAATCATTAAAGGGCCTGATCTGCATGTACTTGTGATGTTGTAGCCAACAGCACTTCGGACATTTAAGTGTCTGGATTATTGGCCATATTTAATTAAAATTACACACACACAGGAAAAGAATCACCCTCCTTTTAAATAATCACATTTTGTTGCTTTGCAGTCGGGCGGACAAACTTTTTATATATTTATATAGTTTTTATATAAATAAATAAAAAACAGAATCTCTGAGTTGGAAAAAGGATCACCCCCTTGTGTCAGTATTTTGTTGAACCACCTTTAGCTTTAATTACAGCCTCTTGGGAGATGTCTCTATTTAACTTTGCAATATTTACCCACTCTTCTTTTCAGAACTGCTCGAGTTCAGTTAAATTTGATGGTGACTGTTTGTAGACTGCAGTCTTCAAGTCATTCCACAGAATTTCAATGGGGTTTAAGTATGGGCTCTGACTAGGCCATGCAAGGACATTCACCTTTTTCTCCTTCAACCACTGTGTGCTCAGTTTTGCTGTGTGATTTGTGCCATTGTCATGTTGGAAAAACCTTCCAATTGACCACTTTCTGGCAAGCGGGCAGCAGATTTTCCTCAATAATTTGATGGTATTTTGCCCCATCCATTTTTCCTTCTGTCCTGACAAGTGCTCCAGTCCCTGCTGCAGAGAAACAGCCCATAACAGGATATTACCACCTCCATGCTTTATTGGAGGAATGCTGTTATTTGGATGGTGAGCTGTACTGGATTTCCACCAGACCGTTTGGTGTTGAGGCCAAATAATTCAATTTTAGCCTCATCTGCCTCAGAATCTTCAAGGTGTGTTTTGGCAAAGCTCAGTTGTGTCTGCATGTGGCCTTTCCTGAGGAGTAGCTTTTTTTCTTGCAACCTTCCCATACAAGCCACATTTGTGGAGAATGTGTGATATTGTTGTCACATGCACACAATGACCACTCTTTGTCAAATTCCTGCAGCTGCTTCAGAGTTGCTGTAGGCCGCTTGGTAACCTCTCTGACCAGTTTACTCCTGGCTCTTTCATCCAGTTTGGAGTAGGGCTGCACGATAAATCGCATTGCGATATTTAACGCGCATCTTGTCAGAAATCCGGTTCTGTAATCAGCGGTAAATCTCCATCACCTGCGGGCTTTCACATTGAGCAGCATTAACTACACAGAGCCGTTGTTCACTGACGAGTTGCAAAAAATCGCGTGAATATGAACGTGGTTTTGCGCAACTCATCAGTGAACAAAGGCTCTGTGTAGTTAATGCTGCTCAATGTGAAAGCCCGCAGGTGATGGAGATTTACCGCTGATTACAGAACCGGCTTTACTGATAAGATGCGCGTTAAATATTGCATGCGATTTATCGTGCAGCCCTAGTTTGGAGTGACATCCTGATCCAGGGAGGGTCTGTGTTGTACCAAATACCTCCCCTGTCTTAATAATAGACTTCACT